TTTTAAGAAACGGGACAAAGTTCATAAATACCTAACATTTAGGTATCTTAAAAGTATTCGTCGGGACAGTTGGAAAACTTTTAAAATAAGATACTTCTCCGTATAATGAATTGACACTAYTATATATACCTAATTTTTTATATATTCCCGAACTATGGTCTTCCATCAAACATTGTCTGCTAGGTAAATATTTTATTGTTTATAGTTTTAGGACAAAATTTTAATATTTTTAAACTGTTTGATTATATATATAGGCATGTAATCAGGAAATATACAATAATATTTATCATATATTTAAAATGTGCATTCATTTTAACAAGTAAAATCTGTAGGAATTATCAGTAATATAACTTATAACATAGTCCATATGATTGATTTATTTATTATAATTATTACAATAGCGGAAACCCAGTTACATTAATGTCACATTTAAAATAATTTAATAATATATTTTAATATGATCTAGAGTCTGCACTATTTAAACAACTGTGAAATAATTGCATTTAAAAATTAKTTATTGAAAATTACACAAAACAAAAACGACAAACAAACAATATTAGTATTATTAATTAATTATTTTCATAGAATTTAAAATAAATTAACAACTAACCGGATTTATTTTGGTTGATTGAATTTCTCTTTTATGTCTTGCATTAAATAATTTCGGTTCAATAAATGCATAATTATTGAATTGATTATCAATTTGGTCAGTCATTCCACCTGAAAATTATAAACATTCAGTTACATAAGCATAGTGATATAAATTTCTTATTTTATGTATCTTAATACAAAAAAGCTGTTATACAAATTAGGCAAGGGTTCTCTAAGGTTAAATTATCAMTTATAAATTAATTTTCTAACATTAAATCTGAATTATGGTAGAAATTTATGAAATACCCACAGTTAAAAATTAAATGCTTAACACAAATAGAATTCAACCAYTTTAAAAGATATTGAAATAAGAAAAAATAACTAACGTTCTTCTYAWATTATATAGAAAATCATATTCTAAGATTTAAATAGATGCTCATTTCAGATGGGCAGTTCATTAGGTAAGGGAAGTAAGGCCAGTCTTGCCTCTAAAATAAGAGGAAAGAATGAAAAATATTATAGTATTTAAATAAATATTTTTAATAAGAGACTGGATTTGAAAAGAGCAAGAAATATTAATTTTGAAACCTGATACTATAATGTTAAGTGTTTTAGTTTTGATTTGCTATCATAGCAAAATTATAGGTATTATTTCAAAGTAGAATTCACTGGTTCTGAGCACTTTTTTCCTTTTTCATTAGTCACAACTTACATGGGCCGATAGGACCACCTAGAAATCAGGATTTTCCTATAGGCTAAATAATTTCCAAATTGTGCTTTAATATCCAAAATAAGTTTTTTCAAACSAATTCCATAATAGATATATCGTCCACATTTTTCACCTTCGGATKCATTCAGTCAATAAATAAATCATAAATGTACCTATATGTAAAAACCTAAAAATCCACTCTCTAGTATTATACTACTTATAAATTAAAATAAAACAACCAAAACATTTGCATAGGCATTATGGTTGTCATGTCATTACATCGAACAATACAATTAAAATCACATACAATTATAGAAACAACATTCTTCARAGTTCCGATCATCATTTTAGACGTAAATGTAAAAATATATAGTCACACTTTTTTTATAGATAAAAGTGTATTTTCAAGAATAACTAATTTCAACTTATAACAATTACGAATTAACTATAAATAATTTTACAATTCAATAGATAATTCTTTTTAATTTTTAATAATATGCATAAATTATTAATAACCAATTAATAATTATGGTGAAAATTGCATATTATCAGTTAAATTTAAATAAGAATTTTAGATATAGCTACATATTCAACAATTCAATTTTAGATTCTGAGCAAAATGAGGAATGCATTAGGTTTACAATAATGTTTAAGATCAGAAAAATATTTTAGATGGTACTTAGAATAGGTAATTTCTTGTCTCCTTAGTATTTTCCAAATGCATATGAACTACCACTTAACCAACAAAACATTTTGATAAATGTATACAACCACAGTTCTATATTATAAACCAATCAAAGTTGTATTATTATTATTATTTACAATCATATGCTTACTAAGGTGAGCTATAAGTGAAGGGAGGGACTCWAAATTAAATTTCTGTATGTATCTTTTTTGGCTTTTAAATATTCTGATTGAATTTATGGAACGTTCAACAGCACTTAAGATCAATGTTTTTAAAATAACATTTCGAAAATGTTACTTTAGTCACTTACAAATTAAAATATTAACAAAAATTTTTGGAGAAAACCAATTAATGTTTGTAACTCTAAATGTAATTATAATAATTTGTCAATTGACTCTACATTTCATTATGAAAATAAACGAAACTAATCGTTAACTACTGAAAGAAAATTTGTAATGTTACATACTTGGAAGATGAAGATAAWAACAAAYGTTGTCACCTTATTAAATTTATTATTTCGTAATTTTATATTTAACCTCATTATAACAATGTTAATTAATTTAACATCGATTGAAAAGGTAATGATATAGGATTCTATAGGACCAAGAGTTGTGAACACTCAACCTATTTTAATCACTTCCACACAACTATACACAAGCAAACAATAACACAAAGTAAATATGTAAATAAGTATATTGAAAAAAACTATGTTCAAAAAGCTCAATTTTCTAGTGTTAGTATACATCAATAAATTATTTATGTATTTTTATCTTATCTTTATCTTTATTTTGTATGTGTGTGTGTATAAAAGAAGTATACTCCCAATTTTMAATCAATATAATATATAGGTACATCAAATATTTGTAATTCATATTATATYCTAATACATTATAAAATATTTTGGAGAACAAAACCATACCAAAAATAGTAGAAYATAAACTTAAAAACACATACACACATCAATATTGTAAAATCGAAATTAATATTTTTTTTATAAATAACGATAAGTGATAACCTAGCTATTATAATTTATTAAATATTATTTTCGTATTTGAAATATAATTTAGTAATAATATATAAATAATGCATCCCAATAAAAAATAATCAGAGCTGTTTAAGAATGTTTCACATAAAAATTAAAATATATTCATTAATAATTGTATCCATACAATGAATCAATATAAATATAAAATTAAATTATTTTTTATGAGAAATAATTCTTACGAAATATTAGTTAATACATTTATATAGTAAYTTTAATATGACATACATAAATGGAAGTTTAAGCTAAATGGTCATTATAGTTTGATATGTTTTAATTTTTTGATAATTACAGAAAATATCAAGCTTTCTAAAATATTCATGTCACTCTTAGTATGAACTCTTCAGTTTAAAGGACGCACAAACAAATATGGTGGGGATGAGGTGGCCGAGCGGTCTAACGCGTCGGCTGTGGCTCAGCGCCGGACAGGGTTCGATCCTCGACCATCGGGCGACATTTTTCTCCGGGCAAGTCACGGTGTCCGGAGAACAAGTGCCACCATCCCCCACTCTGGGGCATGGCAGAAACCTACGGGTGCCCCAATAAAAATTCTGCCAAAACTCACCCACGTGTAACACACCTTACCGTTCCATAAATCTACAGTACCACCCCCTTCCCAATGGCATAAGTTGCCGCGGGATAATTGATAAAAAAAAAAAAACAAATATGCCCCAGCGTATGTTGTCTACGTCTTATAAACGTATAATATATAAACATGGCGATTTATATTCAGTACTTTAGAACCAATTTACCAATTTTATCATCTCGTAGGCTTTAATTTTAAAGAGTTATAAGTAGGTACTTAAACAAAACTATTATGCAACATATTAACATAAATCATAATTCCCTGTTCTTACAAAATTCTTTAAATTCGATAATAGGTCAATTCACCTTATATTAAAGTTAACACAAAAAATTTGTTCTACTACTGAATGTACATTTGTGGGTAAAGTTGTCATGTTGTACGTGCGTTARACAGAGAAAACATGTCAGGCAAGTATGGCSTTTTCTTAATCATAACTATTCTAGCTATACATATTCTAAGAGCTATATGATAATATAAAATTTTACATCAAACAGTRATTCTGGAAACTATTTCAAACATCAATTATTAATTGAATAGAAAAACTTTTTTAATTAATAATACAAAATATAAATATGATATATACAAACTATTATTTCACCAAYTATATGATATGAATTTAAGAGCCTACGGATTTTTGAAAAAATTATACTTCTTTCAGGAACATTAACATAAGACAGCTGAAAAAAATATTCATTAGAATATTAAGGGGAATATTCAWTAAAATATCAAGTARATATAGGTTTTAAAAACCAATCATTTTCATGTAATATACCTTAACAATAAATAATACAATAGTGTGAATAAATGATATGGAACTTATCAAAAATACATTCCTGAATAATTATTGAAATTAAGATCTTCTAAGAGGACACAATTTGCTGTCTCTGTTTTTTAAGTGTCCAAMATAACAAATTTACGTTTAGCAGTCCAAGTTTAGTTTCGATTATTTTAGTAAATTAATCTATTATATATGAAAACTAAAGATAAAAACATTGTCAGTAGTTTGTTTGAAGCTTTTTCCCGACATTTCAATTTAAAGTGAGTGAAAAATATAAGTATAATAAAAATTAAAAATCATCATAACTCACTTCGAAATTGAAATATCGAAAAAACACTTAAAAAACAATGATCGATGTAGTTACATTTAACATTTAGGTTTAATATTAAGCCATAATTTAGCCTAATAATAMAACGAACGAAGGTAAACCTAAACTACTTATAACAATATATTATTCACAGATATAAAATATTATTATTATATCTGTGATATTATTACGTACTTATAGAACGGAGATAACAAATGTGGGTGCGGCGTCCTCGTGATATTTAGATTTAAATTTTATAAAATACAAATTATATAGATGATACATTAATATTTTTATATTTGTTTAAGCGATTTTATTCTTTACGAATTACATCCATAAATAATAAATATACCTCCCAATAATAAGAAAAGGTGCTATAAATTATACATAATTTGMAAGTAAAATTTAGTTATAAGTATAATAATCTACCTATTGTATATTTTTAATTAGTTGCATATTTTGCACACTTCGTTTCCGCTCAATATTAATTATATATTTAAATTTTAAATGCTTTTGCAGAAATATAATTGTACTAATTAGTTGATATATTTAAACACGTACCTATATTAACTTTATCTATATATTATACTATTATCTAAATAATTTTACTTTCCTACAAATAACAATTATTACTCGATTATAATTGTTGATGTCCAATACAAATAAAAGTAATATTGTTTATCAAGTAAAGAGATATATAGTAGTTTTACAAAACAAAAATGATGATGAATTGATGACATGTTACCCACTGCAACAATCGAATATTCTGATGACACAGCGAAATACGTATACGAGTAAAAATTAAATACATTACATTTGACATAGGTATAAATATAGTATTTAGTATTCGAATGATATATTCAATACACACATCCTGTATAGGATAGAACAATAAAATTACCAATTGAATGAACGTAATCATAGCATAAATTAAGAATTTTTTTTTCACATTAAAATAGAAAATTGTTCATTTTGTATTCATATACAAAGGTAAGATGAACAAATTTGAGTTACGACGTTAG